AATTCTATTTGTCTGTTACTTGAGATTATTATTTTATTACCTTTATATAATGATTATCTGGTGTCTTGGAAGTAGCTTATATTTTCATCACTTTTTGTTTTGAAGTTATTCCATGAAATAATTTTAGATTGATATTCTTAAGGACAATCACAGGAATTTTGTCCAGGCCAGTGACTTTCTTAGGGTCAAGGCTTTTGATAAGTCTTGAAACTTCTCATGCTGTGATGAAAATATAATGAGGTTGTGCTCAGTGAGACATGGGAAGTTGAGAAGGGGATGATCTTTATCATCTAACATTGAATTCAAGACAAGGTTAGAGAAGAAGAACTTTGCTTTATCTGTCACAGTATATATAACCTAGGGACCATTAATAATAGTGGGCACAGCCACAATGCTTCTGTTCATAATTTGGTTGGTGATCTTCCAAAATTCACAGGATCTAATTGTGCATAGCTATACTTTGCATTTTCCAGAACTTTCTTGCAAAAATTGTGGGTGGTTCTGAATGCAGTAAGAGTCAAACTACACTGCTCCTTGTGATAGATATTGAAGTAGTAGTTATGATGAGTTATGGCTGCAGCCATAACTCACACCAAACTAGGATGGCTGGCTGTTTGGTTTTTATTAGAATTTTGGGGGTGGGTGTAAAACTTTCCATTCCAGAAAGGATCCATTCAGAGATGAGAGCAGCAGTTTTGGAAGCAGTGTGCTTGAAGAAGGATGAGAGTGGTGCTTCCACCATAGAAGATCAAAAGCTGTCCCAGTCTGGCTTTGTGCAGTGAAAAGTCATTTTGTGAAATAGAAAATCAGGGCATGCTTTTGGTTTGGCATCAACCTGAATACTAACTATAGAATGGTCTGACATGAACAGGGGGGAGAGTGGTTTTTAAATTTTACTGGGTAGGTCAGTCACAAATCCACTGGCTGGAAGAGGAATTCATATAGCCATACCAGCTTCAGATTTCATCTCTTCATATTTTGTTTTTCTAGGTTTTACATTTTTTACAAATGTAAAAGACTGAAAAAGACTCTTGGCCTGTTTACCAATCAAAAACTTCAATTTTAAAGCAACTTCAACAATTAACACTAAATTAATAAGCAAATACTCAATTCAGAAGTGTAGTGTGTGTGTGTGTTTGTGTGTGTGTGTGTGTATATATATATATATATATATATATATATATATATATATATAAAAGGAATTAACCTTCCATAAGTTTAAAATCTCTTTTCAAAAAAAATTTGATGATATTGTCAAGGATATAACTAAATCCGGCAATATTTATGTCAAATTCGATAAAATGGCTAACTTATAAAAGTTATTCTCTAAGGTTTATGACACTTTAGTTAAAAATAGTTTGACCAAAAGCTACAAGAAAATTGACTCAGCTACTTTAAACCTGATAGATAGTATTAACTGTGTTATCAAATCCATTACTGACAAACTGTGTATAAGTGATTGTGTCAGTAAATTGCAAGCTAAGGAAGCATATATATTTTATTAAAGGATCAAAAACCTGATTTCAGAACTAAGCCATCAACACATCTTATTAATCCTACCAGACTGGAGGTTGGTAGAATCAGCTAAACCATTTTGGAGAAAACCAACCAATCTATTGAAAGTATCCTTGGACTCTTACAGTGGATTAATACTGCGAATGTTATCAACTGGTATCCAAAATAAGAACAACTGCACTTTCATACAATTCAACATCGTCAATTATTATCCCTACATCTTTATAGATCTGTTCACTTTGCCTTGGAGTCTGCTCAGGAATACTCAAACATTTCTGATTATGAAATGGATATCATGTTGAAATGCAAAAGTTCTGTTCTGGTTTACAATGAAGAACAGTGGACCAAAAAGATTTCCAGTGATAATTTTGACATCATATTGTATTCTTTAGATTCTGATGAAGCCTCTGACTTGGTAGGATTATTTCTTTTATACAATTTAAGTGCCTTTGAGTGCCTAGACTCTGATAGTATTGGATTATATAGAGATGATGGCTTATTAGTAGTTAAAGACACTACAAAAATCAAAGTAGATCATATTATAAAAATGATCCATAGGGAGTTTAAGGATTTAAGTCTTAGGATTATAGTTATGACTAACATTAAACAGGTAGACTTTCTGGATGTCACCCTAGAACTTAATAATAGTTCTTTTCAACCTTATATGAAGGTTAATTCCAACCTGGTATATGTACATCCTAATTCCAACTACCCCACTTCTGTTATTAAGCTCATACCTTCCACCATTGAATTTAGAATCAGTACTAACTCTTCTAGCAAATAGGTTTTTAATAAACATAGTGAATTTTATAATTCTGCCCTTACAAATAGTGGTTACAAGAGTACCACTATTGAATATAGAAATCCTATTAATTATGACCACAATAAGATAAGAAGATTCAGGAAAATCATTTGGTTTACTTCCCCTTTCAACCTAATGGTTAAAACCAAACTAGGACATAAATTTCTAAATCTTATCAAAAAATATTTCCCCAAAACTAATTCACTCAGTAAAATATTGAATTATAATACCCTTAAATTAAGCTATAGTTGTGCTGATAACCTGGAAAAATAATTAAGAAGCATAATAATAGAGTCTCCAACAAGTATAGGAACTGAAAAAATTAAATACTTGCCAGGTTGCAGTGAGTAAAACTAAGTATAATGATACTAATAATAATTTGTACAACTGTAAGAATCCTAGTAATTGCCCATTACAGAATAATTGTTTAACTAGTTCCCTAGTTTACCTTAGTACTATTTCTACACTTGAAAACCCCAATATTAAAAAAATTTACAATGGAAGTATTATGAATCCATTCAAAGAATGCTGGTGTGGATATGTGCAATCTTTCAACAATAATAATCATAAATACAAGACTTCATTGTCCAAGTATTTTTGGAGCTTAAAGGAGAAAAACAAAATGCCTACTGTCAAATTAATTAAAAGAGCTCAAGCATCTAATTCTCTCTATGCCCCTTGTTATTTATGTCTTAATGAAAAATAGGAAATTATGAAAGACAAGATCCATCTCTTAAATCAAAGGAATGAACTCACTGTTAACTGTAAACATAGCTCAAAATTTAACTTACTATAGGGGTAGTAATATCTTCAACAATAATGCAATGTTATTATGAGTTTAGTATGTTATTACTTATATTATCTGCTAATACTCCTATTTATTTGTATTCATGTACATATATGCATGTATAAGTATATATTGTTGTTTGTTTGTGTGTGTGCATGTGTGTGTATTTTTATATAAAGATGTGCATTTGTATTTGTATTTATATATATGTATATATGTGTGTGTGTATTTGCAGGTATGTACATATATATGAATATATTTGTATTTGTACATGTATTTATATGTTCATATATATATATATGTGTGTGTGTGTGTGTGTGTGTGTGTGTGTGTGTGTGTGTATTTATGGATGTAATGTATGTGCTTGTTTGTATATTTCTGCACATGTATGTGTGTATATATATGTGTATACATGTATGTATTTATGTGTATATGTCTGTATATATATATATGCGTGTATGTGTATATTTTAATGTTTTTAAATAGATTATCTATGCTAACTATTATCTACTTTTGTTTAATAGCAATTTTAGAATTGCTTGTGGACTTAATAATTAACAGTTGTGTTTTGTTACACCCTAATCTTGAATGGGCTCTGAATTCTTTATAGTCAATTTTATAAAATTGTTAGTATTTTTTTAGTTAGTTTGTATGTTTCTACTTCTTTTTATATGGATGTATATACTTAGATATTTGTATCTGTGCATGTGTGTTGGTTTATTTTTTGTGCATTTTATATGTAGCTTTGTAGGTTGATATGTTTGTATTTATTTCCATGTGTGTGTATATGTGTATGCATGCATATATATATATATATATATGTGTGTGTGTGTGTGTGTGTGTGTGCATGTGTCTATATAGGTGTATGTGTATGCACATATTTCTGTATTTACTTATATATATTTTATATTTTTGTCTGTGTATGTATTCCTGTGCACTCATGCATATATGAGTATATATGGGGTATATATATATTTGTGTGTTAATGTGTTTTCTTTTCTCTATATATGCTGGTTTTATTTTCTGTGTTGCATTTTGCCTGGACATTTGAATTTGGCCATTGTTTTTTGTGTATGTATATATATTGTGTCTGTCCATTTGCATATATATGCTTATATGTCTTTTTCCTTCCTTTGTTCATAGCTGAATATTTGTTTTCCAATTCTACCCCTCTTAACTTTTATCTATTAAACTGTTTTTTCTAAATATCTTTGCCCATGTAGTAATATTTTAATGGTTAGTTTGCATTCATTTATTAATACTTTTAGACTTGAATCTTTGTGGGTTTGTCTATGTATATGTCTATGTCTTTATTAATGTATGTGTGTATGATTGCTTGTATATGCTTTTCATTATATTTGTATGACATTATATTCCTTTTTTCTTTTTTTTTTGTCATGAACATCTATTTCCTGTTTTGTCTGTCTTTTTGCATGTTTATGTATTTAAACATGTTTACGTGTTTGTATATTGATGTTTGAATCTCCTTAAATTAATGTTTGTTCTAACTGAAAATTTGGATTTTTGATTAAAACATAAAATAAATAATAAAATATATGTCTATTTTCCTCAGTTTCTTCTTTAAATAATTTTATAATATTTTAAAATTTAAAATTGGTAATTTTTATTTTTAATTTTATAGTAAAATTTAAAATTAATCAATTAGAATGATTTCTATTTTAGCCTAACATTAACATTAAAGCATTAATAATTATAACCAAGGTTTGTTGTCAAGTTTTTTGTATTGTGTTTTGATTGGTCATTGTAGCTTATGTATCTCCATCACTTGAGAAGACACCAGAAGTGTTGAAACGAAATGTCTATTTTTGTAGTGATGTTATAACATGTTTATGTTATCATTTTTGAATATATATATATATATATATATAATTTTGCTTACGGTCAAATCACACTGAAACACCGGTTCTTGTTCGATCACCGAAGTTAAGCATCGTAGAGCCAGGTCAAAACTACTTTAGATGGGGGGACGCTTGGGGAACACCTGGTACTGTAAGCCCCCAAAGTCCAACCCTTACCTCACAGTTGGTGGGGGGGGTGTAAACAGTAGTGTCAGAGCTATGCCGCCTGGAACTTCGTTCCTGGTAGGGCCACCCAAGGCGGACAGGTCTGACACACACGCCCGCTAACAAGGGCTCTGGTGAAAATCCAAGGAGCATCTGCATCGGCAACCGGCGGCTTCTGGTCGTTCCTGTCTCTCGTCTGTGGGAACCCCAAGGCAGCAAGAACGTTATCCGAGTAGGCCTGGGTACCCTACTTCTGTAATTTATCCCAAGAATCTTCTTCTCATAACAGGAAGAAGCCGGCTCAATCCGCCCAGGGTGAATGCCGCATCAGTACAGCAGTACAGTATATATATAAATTAGAGATAAGGATAAGCAGCTCTAAAAAGAGTCTGCATAAGATTGCATAGTGGAAAACACGAGTGCTTAATGCCATAAAAAATGTCAGAGATTTAATATATTTTAAGTCAAATACTGTGATGTAGGTGACTTTAGTTGCATTTTTTGGTTCAAAGCTGTAAGCTCCTATACCATAGTGGTATTATTCCCTATGGCATTGAACTTTTTTTGCCACACTGGTAAGCCTTTTTTTGGTGTAATTTTTATTTTGGGGGGCTAAGACATGAGAGGTTATTGAGTGTGGAAGCATTAGGAACAGAAACATTAATAATGAGTGAGAAAACAAATGAGTAATCAGGAGGACAGCAGATAGATATTGATGTTGCATTTAAATTTTTGCAGATTAAAGTTGGCTGGAAAGCATGGAACTTGAAGGGAAATAGCAGGGGCACCAGATCATATGTGGCTGCAATATTCTAAGCATGGATGAAGGGTAGACTTATAGATATGTAAGATAGATTCTGGAGAGAAAAATTGTCTAGTACAACACAGTGAACCTATCACAATTTAATAGGAAAGACTGGATCAATTCAAAAATGTGTCTGAAGACACCTTAACTTTTCAGCTTGTGGAGAAGATCTGTATGTCAAACCCTGTCAAGATGTCCCGAGCTTCACTGCTTTTATCTTGAGTATGATAGACGCTTTTTGCAATTATCGTCACTACATCAGCAGTTGACCTGGAAAAAATAAAAGTCATATTGCTTGTCTCAAAAAATGCCTGGTGATGATGAACCACTAGGAGTTTCCAAAAAAGAGGTAGAAGTCTGATAGGCCAGTAGTTGAAAGGGTCAGACAGTTCACCAGAGTTCTTTAAAAGTGGAATAACAGATGATGACTTCCAGCAGGCAGGAAAGCAGGAGGCAGCAAGGAATTTATTATACAGTTTAGAGAGAACAGGGGTCAGTTCAGGAGCACACTTCTTAATGACTATTACAGGGATACCATCAGGTCTACATGCTTTGTGGGGATCTAGGTTTGAGATGATATCAGAAACTATGAGAGGGATTATATGCATATCACTTAACAGAGACTCAGTCCTAAGTGGGAAGTTAGGCAGGGATGTTCCAGATGAGTTAAGAGTAGAGTTTAATGAGAATTTACAGGCAAAGTATTCAGCTTTATCAGCAGAGGATTATAACACTCCAAATTGATTGAAGAGGTGGGGAATAGAAACCTAACACTTATTTAATACCCTACTACAGAGCCACCAGTAATCTCAAGAACCAAAGTTGTTAGATGCAGTTCAGTGACTCATTCTCTCAGCAAACAGGAAATCTCCTTCAAGGACTCATATTTATTATGAGCAACAAAAAATATGTGCCTGTTGTGACAGGAGCTGTCATGCTGGTATAGCCAAAAATAGTGGTTTCTATATGCTATATCAGCCAAGCATACTGGTGTGAACCATGGAGAGGATTGAGGTTTCACCTGGTATTTTTGAGAAGAGAGGAACACATCCATGCCGGCATTGGCCCAAGAAGAAACCTCAGTGGCGAAATTCTCAATTAGAAGATGTGGGACATAGCCATTAGCTGCTTCAGATTTCATCTCTTTTTATTTATTTTTTTCGAGGTTTTACATTTTTACAAATGTAAAAGACTGAATATCAGCTCTTTGGAAAAACATTGAAACCCTCTTTGCCAGTTTACCAAGCAAAAACTTCCATTAAATGCAGCAACTTCAACAATTAACACTAAATTAATGAGCAAAAACTCATCACAGATATCATGTGTGCACATGTGTATATATATATATATATGTATATATATATATTAACATGATTCAGTTTAATGAAAATCTTCAGGTCAGAGGTTAGGTATATGGTATGGTTCAAACAGAATCTAATTAAACAGGTTTTTATTGAAAATAGCAATTTAGCAATGGAAATAAAATATGACTTTGAACTCTACAAAACCTGTATGTAAATTGAGTATTGAAAGTGGCTGAAATCTTTACAGAACACTTACATATATTAATATGTTATATATATATTGCTGCTGGCAATCTTATTCAAATTGTTGTGCGTCTTTGGTATTTGTTTTTTTAACTGCATTAAATAACCAAATCTCATGATGTATAAAATGTATGGATGTTTGTGCTTAGCTTTTAGAATATATGCACTTCCAGTACAACATCAATTTGATGGATTTCCTTTAATGTATTACCAGCTTTTCTTGTTAAATATCTGGCCTATTGAAATTCTATGCTCATTTCTATAAACATTTGAGTGGAACAACTATGGAATATAAAACTCTTCAGCAATCCTTTAAAGGTAACAGTGTATCCAACATTGTCAAAATTCTCTAAATGATTTAAGTTATTATTAAACTTCAGGAAAGTTAAAGAAATAGAAAAGCATATGGCAGTACTTCTTAAAAACAAACTTAAATACAAATTGCAGTTTTAATAATTACTAGCAGTAGAGCCTGGCTTTGCCTGGGGATGTAACAGTAAGAGATAGATCAAGTATCGACCATCATAAAGACTGAAAAATAAAATTGACAAAGATTATTGTTTAAGGCTGACGGACACGCATGTCTTAATTAGTTTTATTTTTTTTTTGTTTTGTTTTTTTTTTTTTTTTTCCGAATTGGTCTAACCCAAACTCAAACAAAAACATTGTTTTCAATCGTTATGAGTCTCCCGATTGAATAGAATTTTATTATAAATAATTGTCTTGTAAATGGAATTTTTAAAGCATTCTGAATGTTAAAAATAAAGAAAAAAAGTGTGCAAGAGAATAAGAAACACTACCTGCCAAAAAAAAAAAAGTGAAGTTTTGTTTTATCAGCTGAAAAATATAGGAAATCCGATCCCATATTTAAAGGAACACACACACACACACACACAAACAACCCGATGTGAGTTGTCCCCCTTTCATTCTCATGATGTCTCTTAATCGTGTTTTCAAATTGATTTTGTGCAAAAACAATTATATTTTTCCCATTTTTGTCGCTGTTAGAACCACCACAAAGTAATTTTATGTAGTCCTGTGAAGTTTTGTTGAAATCGGTTGAAAAATGTAGGAAATCCAATCCAATATATAAACGTTACAGACACACACACACACACACACAATCTGCATTTTATAATAAGTAAGATTACTTTCTTTGTGCCATGGCCATTCAGGATGTAGGCAATAATGCAGCACCACAATATCATGTCCTTCTCAGCTCTTAATAAATTTTGTCGTTTTGTTATCTTTCCTAAAACTTGTTCTATCATCCATTTACTCAAGCTCACTATGTATGTTATGCATTGCTTTTTTCTCTGTCTCTTGCCTTCAATCTGTCATGTGAGTATCAAATTTTCCAAAACCCCTTTCCTCACTTGTGAGCCCTAGAAATGTTAGCTGCCTCTTCCTAATGTTAAATATAAGTTTGCTTTTTGTTTCCATTTTCTTTAAAACTTTGTTGTTGCTCAATTGTTTGGTCCATGGTTTTCTCAGCATCCTCCTGCAGAACCACATTTCTGTTGCTTCAAGTCTCCTCTTCATCTGCAACAAGATTGTCCAGTATTCACTGCCATATAGGAAGACTGCTACTGCATAACAGTCCAGTACACCTTTCTTTGTTTCTAAATGAATTTTTTCTGTGTCTTATTGAAGCATAATTGTTTCTGTCCCAATCTTACCAGAGTAAGAAATACAAATGCAGAAAGACATACATGTATTTTTTATAGATTACACAAAACATTTGAGAAGGTGTGATACAAAGACTTAATAATTTAGACATTAAGAAAGTTTGTATGGGAAAAATAATAGTGTAATCCATAACTACTTGAGCTCCTTGATAAAATCCAAAGAAGAATCAGCAATATTATTGGTCCTGATCTGGTGACTCGGCTTCAGCCACTTTTCCACTGCTGTCTTTTCTATAAATACTTTCATGGTAATTGTTCAGATGAACTCTTTGCCATGATATATAGACTTTTTGAATTTAAGCCCAGTACTAGAGTGGCATCAAGATCTCATCATTTTACAGTTGAGCTGGCTAGATGTAACGATAAATTCTATGCTTTTTTTTTCTTGCACTTCTCGCTAGTGGAACTCCCTTCTGACGCCATACTTTCCAGCCAACTTTAATCTGCATAAATTTAAATGCAATGTCAATCGTTACCTACTGTCCTCCTGATTACTCTTTTCTCTTCCTGCACATTATTAATGTTTCTGTTTCTAATTCTTCCACATTCAGTAACCCCTTGTGTCTTAGTAGTTTTTTTTTTTTTGCCTTGCTTGGGGTGAAACCAATTAAAAAAGGAAAAAAAAATGGAGAGTGAGCAAGTGCTATAAATACACAAAATTAGAAAGAAGAGTAAGATGAGGATACATTTTCTCACTAGATTTAACATATACAGCAAAACCAAAGTGAACAAAAAGACCTGCCAGGATTTATTATTGTTGGATATAAGGAAAGTGGGAAGAAAGAACTAAGTGTAAGAAGACAGAATACACTACCAGCCAAAGAAACTGCCCAAGGTGTGAGTTATATATTAGGATTGTCAAGATCAAGGAGATGCTGAAATTCAATTATCTGGATAGGATAATAACAAATGACAGAGAATGTGATAGAAAAATCCAAAAGATCCCTTTCA